AATTTATATCACTGACACAAAGTATCCAAGTATTTTCCAGACTGTTGCATGTTAGCCTCGTGCGTATTTTAGCTTTATTTATTTCCATAAAAGCGCAGAAGCGTGGCGGAGTACAAACCCCGTTTGTATGGTTAGGTACCACAGTGCAATTCTGTCTGCAGGCCGTCGGTGACCCACATGTGATGTAAATTAACAAACGAAAATGAGTTATAAATTTCAAAGGACCTACTGAAATCTGCGGATGAGGACTGTTGGATGGAGTGATTCGATAAGGATGTTGCAATCGTGCCCATCGCTTGTTCAGTCGAGCCCGAAACTAAGCTGTTCGCACGCTCTATCAAGCTCCTCATTTCTTCACACAACTGCGAGTGCTTTGCGAGTTGTTCAGCCAGATTCGTATTACAGTTCTCCATTTCTTCCGATTTCTGAATAATTTTAACTCCAAGCAAATCCGTTTCTGGATAAAAAGCAGTGAGATATCAGTCGTAGCATCTCTTGAAACATTTCATTGTGACTGCTTACCTTACTGACCAGCTGCTGCTGTATCTTGGCTCGCTCATCGGAATCGCTTAATTGCTGCGACAAACTGGCTGATTCTTCAGTAAGAGACTGTTTCGTGAAAGCAACCTGCTCGAGATCCTGTACTTTTTGCGCCCTGTTCCGGCATTCCACCTGCATTTGCAGACTTTCATGCGCCAGACGCTCACACTGCACATTCAGCTGAAAGATTAATCCGCGTGAAAACGCAATAAGCAACCTGTTTTAGATCAGTACATTACAAAATTGCTCGGAGGCTTCACAGCCCGAGACAGATCACGAAGTGCTGATAGTGTCAGTGCAGAGAGAGGTTCGAAGAAACAGCTCGGAGACCTGTTGTTTGGTTGTTTCAAGCATACGCAATCGGCCAGTTTTTTCATCACGCTTTGCTTTCATCGATTCGATTTCCGCCGTAATCTCAACGATTCGCTCTCTTGCCTGCAGAGAAACAACTGCTTTGGGGACAGAAAACAAAATTTTTTAATGTACGAACTGATTCCCTTGCGGAAAGCGGTAACACTATGAACAGCTCCACTCTACCAGAGTACAATGCTCGGCATTCGTCTAACTACAGGAGATAATGCAGATAAACAGGAGCTACAGTCAAAAAAGCGCACTGAAGCGGTAGCAAATAAATCAGAAGAACATTGGCTATCCAATTCGCACCTTTGCAATACTTCCATTGAGTTCGGTAGATTTTTCGTCAAGTGCTTGGAGCTGGAAAGACAAGCTCTTCCTGCGCTGTTGCCGCTCTACCGTACTGTCCACTTCGTTCTGACGTTGCGCCTGAAAAGTCATGGGTGAAGCAAAAAAAAAATCGGCTTGTTTTTGATGATGCAGCATTTGAAAAACAGTTTTGTTACCTTGATCTCCCGGATTCGTATAGCATTCAGATCGGCTTTTCGTTGTCGTTCCATTTCCTTTCTAGCCTCTTCTTTCTCGGAAAGAATTCGTCTTTCTTCTGCTAAACGAGCTTCTTCACGTTTTTTCTCGCGCTCCAACTCCACTTCACGCTCAAGCTGACGCCTTTTCTCAGCCTCCTCTCTTTCACGCTCCCTTTTCTCGGCTAATTCCCTTTCTTTCTTCTCGAACTCAGCACGGCGCCTTTCTTCCTACAAAAGAGGCAAAACGATGGGTTACCGACTGCGAAAGATCTGAGAATTAAGAAGCAAACAATAACTCGATAGATTATAATAAAAATGCAAACCTCCTCGTGGAGCGCCTGGCGACGTCGATCGAGTTCGGCTTGCCCACGATCGTAGTTGTCCCTACGTTTGTCTTCAAATGTTTTCGGTACTTGAAACTTCTGGGCAGGTGGCGCGTTCGGGTCAAGCACTGGAGAGCCGGAAACGGAACGTGAGCAGTGAACAGTCAACTCTGGCGGAAGAGCTTTTGGGAGCGCATAACCGGCCTGAAACGCATCAGCACAGCAGCAAAATCGATGCATCAACGCGACGCGCAACGAAAGGCTACCGAAAACGGGCTGGGAGTGGCACTAAGACATACTTTGACCGATTCAATCAGATGCATAGCCACACAGAATTCCTCGACACTGAGACGGCCATCCTTGTTCACATCCGATAAATTCCAAATTTCAGCCAACAGCGAATTGGGCAGCCGACTCTGCGCCAAAATATTCCTGCAATGAACTGGTGATGCGGCGGGCAGCCCGTAACATAAACAGTGCGGAAGGGACAGGAGGAACCTGGAGTGCACGCCACTCAGCGAGCCGATGCGACTCTTGTCGAGCTGGTTGAACTGCTGGCAGTACTTCAGCTTACTGTTATGCGGTATGCTCCAGTCGCCTCGCACCTTCGCCGACGCAACCACCGGCCGCACCACAGCAGCAGCAGCAGCCGGCGCATTCACAGCACCGAACGATGCAGTCAGCAGCGGAGGCTGCAAAACGACAGCATTATGCACCGCCACACAACAGCGAAGGGCCGCACATTTGCTAGTACTGAACCTGCAGTGAGTCCGGCAATGTCGTTGGCAAGCTTGCGCCGCTTAACGCCACCCGGATCAGATGCATCGCTATGGAGAATTCAATTCGATCCATCTTACCATCCTGAAAACACACTGCTTTCGCTTGATTTCGCCTTCCACCGACCAAAAGAGGACAGCGATCCCCGGCTGCCACCTCTCGGCCAATGCTAATCTCGCTGCCCACTGGTGTCTTTACGTAAGCCGAGAGCGAAAACATTCGGGGAAAAAAATGAGTGGTTACCTTTGTACAATCGGCAAGCTGCCACACCTGAGCCAGGACTGCCGGTGAAAGTCCCGATTTCATGAACAGCGGTCGTGCCTGGTTGCCAGAAACGAAGCCATCCACGGGGCTCAGCGAGCAGAACTGCACGTCATTCTCCCTCATTTCCGCCTCCGTTATTACCCATGGTGTGGCACTCATGCTCTGCAAAAAGCTCTACAATTTCAGCATACACGCCTACGGCTTTTTTCCTCTCAAAAATCTGCGGAGCAGGGCACCTGCTCCCCCTCCGCCCCTCAATTCCTCCCAGTACCGCCGCGCATTTGAAAACTTCAATTCTCGACCATCCAAAACCTCTAGTAAGAAAACACTTAAAAGAAACCGAATCGAAATCTGATGTGCAAGAGACCGCTGTCGCTTCTTCTAAGTGCCACTTCCACAAAACCCACAGCCGAGTGCAGGGAACCGCCTAATTCGTACAGCGCACAGGGCTTGTTGCGGACGCACGCGTTACAAACCGAAGAAACTAACCGCACTTATCGTCCGAAAAAACCTAATAATTACATGAGACGCATGGGTAAAAATCAGCTGCGCCCCTGCTGGCCGAGCTCACAGAACTTCGGCGCAACTCAACACACCCGAAATCCCATGAATGCGCCCCTCCCGAGCTCGAAACTGAGCCAAAACCCAAAATGCACACTCACCAGCCCCCCTCGTCCTGCGGACATCTTGTTCCAGAACAGCCGCCAAAGCCCCCGGCCCAAGCCGTTCCCAACAATGACCCACCGGCCCGCAACCACCCACTGCCAACCCACGTTGCCAGCAGGACGGGGACCGCGCCGATCACCGGAACAACCTATGCTTTTCGCAAATTGTTTTGATAAAAGGTGGAGGTGCATGCGAAGAGGATCAGAGATAAGAAGTGTCTGGGAAGGGACTGTCGGGGCTGGCGGCAGTGCAGTCTCGGAAGGGTCTGGGCCCGGTGCGTGTTCGCCAGCTAAAATCATCACCATCATGCGCTGGCTGCACAGCCGAGTAGTGTGTGCGGGGGATTAGGCTCATGTGCGAGAGGTTGGTTGTGGCTCCGTGTTTCCGGCGTACACTGCTTTGAGGTGCATACAGCGACTTGCCACGTTTGTGCAAAAACGCGTAAAAAGCCCGCGTTATGTTATTTTTGGCCAAAGCACTTTTCAATATTTGTGCAAATTCGTGGCCAGCACGTGTGCCTTTGTGGCTCGACTGACGAGCTGACGGAGGGGCCCAGTGCTCGGATGTGGCCCTTCGCGTACAGATGAGCTGGGCATCAGCGGTTCGGTTCTTTGTTTTTGCACAGTTTGTTGCATGAGCCCACATCTGCAAATTCAAGGGACTTGAACCTGCGTATTTGCACATGTGGTGCAGCGCTCTCGAGGCTAAGCTGGAATGGTGCTAGGGCGAAGGAGTGAGTTCCAGAAGCCTAGCTATTTTACGTGACGGGCACGCGCACACCGCGCGTGTGTCTTGTCAATACGCGTTTTCGCATTTGCATAAATGTAAAAAGAAAAAAGAGAAATAAGAATTAATGTTGAACGATTTTCCGTGGAATCGAAAATTAGTAGGGACAAGAAGAAACTCGAGAACTGGCAGGTGATGCTAAAATTGGATAGAATGTTAGAATTTCTTGCAACGCCGTCGGGCGCGCAGACAACCATACGGACACACACATACATATGCATCCACTGTCTTGTGGATTTTTTACTGGAGATGTAGATGTGGAAGGCCAAAGCGGCGGCGATCAATAAGAAGTAGTGAAGTCGGAATGTATACACATCATCCGGGGATGCGTGGAAGAGGAGGAGGGCTTGCCGAGCATGGATTTGCCTCAGATGGGCCTCCCTCCTCCTCGGAAAGCACATATAAAGCAACATTTGCGCTGATTTTAGAATCGACTGTTCTGGTGGCTGCGCATTATAGCGCGACACTACTGCATGCGATGTTCAGCTGCCAGATGTGAGTAACAAGAAATGCAAGGTTTTTGCACTGGACTCCTGCTAATTGTTTGGCCGCTGGTCACTGGGCAGGGGAGCTGAGCGCTGCTTCTCAAGCAGTCCAAGGACGAGGGCACTAGTGAGGCTTTTGCCAGCAGTTGACTGCTCTTCCATTATTCGGGAACTTTGTTATGTTGGAGGGGTTTGGTTGCTGACGCTCGCTCTTTGTAAAACTTTTTTTTTTTAAAGATTTGTCATCAGAATAACGCCGGTATTATTCCCTTTTCGAGGGTTTACTCAGAGCTCCGAACAGTAATTTCCGAACAAGTGACGTCTTTGGGGCAGGCATGTGCTCTAACATAACAGGGTGCAGTTTTAGTGTGCGCGGCAGAGACTGCTTGAAGTGAGAGGGCCGGAGTTATGGAAATTTGATTATCGCGATCGCCGGGATAGTCGATATGGAGATCCCACTTTAATGCTGTCACTAAGTTTAACTAAAAATCTGCTCCAGTGTGTACCTGTTTTTGAATTTTTTTTTTTTTTTGGAGTTCGGTTTCGAGATGTGAGAATCTCAGTACCAAGTTTTTTGTTTGGATGAGGTTTTTTTTTTCCTCCCAGAATTTGAGCATCCTGGTTGTTCGGGTTCCTAAATTAACAGTTCCCCGCCAGACACGGTCCATACCTAAGACACAGACGCGCGTGAATGTTGATACCACGTTCCTGGAGTCATAGCTCACTGGCAAAGCTTCAGCATCTTGGCCTACCTGACTGCTGAGTTGAAATACTCAGACAGACATACGCACACAAACAAACATATATATATATGCGCGCACACACGCACCAATACACACAATTTGAGCGGCTTCTGGTGGCGTACATAAGTGGAAAATGCGACAGTTACTGCTCAAGACATGCTGCTCAGGACTGAAGGATTTGGCATAGCTACGCTGCGCGTGTTGTGACGTTACATAGGATCTCAGCATTAGTTGTCCAGCCAGCCGCAGAGTTCCCAGCGACTCTAAAGTTTTGTTTTATTAATCCATTT